GGTAATAGGAGAAAAGAAAGAGGGGAGAGGGAGGGAAAGAGAAAGAAGGGAAAAAAAGAAAAGGAAAGAAAAAGAAAAAGAGAAGAGAAAAATAAAGACAAGAAAGGAAGATATCATAATGACCAGACTCACAACACCCTGCAATCCTTCTCCACTTCAAAAACTGTCATAACTCCTTTGATCTATGCTGCCCGATGGCTTAACCACTGGGGGACAAGGGGAAAATATCTATCTTTGAAAAATCTTCCCCACCCCTTTATAAATGCCCTTTTCATCCCCTGAAAGTGCCTAAAAAACCTAAAATGTCGCGCGCATTTCTTGTTAGCATGGGTCAATTTCCTCTAAAAATTGCACATTTTAGGGAGTTTTGATCAATTCCAACGAAATTAGAATTAAAAACACCAGGGGACAAGGAAAAAATATCCATCTTTGGAAAATCTTTCCCCACCACTTGACAAATGCATCCTCTGAAAGTGCCTAAAATTCTTAAATTCTTTGCTCGCATTTCTTGTTACGGTAGGCCAATTTCCTCTATAAATTGCACATTTTAGGGAGTTTTCATCAATTCCGACGAAATTAGAATTAAAAACACAAAAATATTTTTTTAGGTTTATCCTTTTAAGTTATTTAAACACATAAGCCTAATTATAGTCCCAAACTCAAGAAAGACAAATTTAAGATAGATCGTTTTAACCAAAAAGAAGGGCCTCAATATGTATTGATGGTGAAAGAATATGTTTGTAACAAATAAAACCATGATGAAAATGCTTATATTTAGTCTCAAACACATTTGTGTGGCTTATATTATAAATAAGATAAGCCCTATGTCGTATTGTTTTTTAAATGGGGAGTGGGGTGGGGTGGGTTGGGTATGGTAAATTACTAACCGGGAAAATAAATACCCACTCTGACCCAAGACCCCTGTTACGCGCCTGGTGTTGGCGCCGCTTGTGCGGACAGGGGATGTGCCCCCCTCTGAAGCTGGAATTCTTGTTTTTGCAAAATAAATTGATGCAATTTGCTATTATAGGCCTAATCAATAAATTCCTCATCAACCGATATAAACTTAAACA